GCACCCACATTCCGGGGATCCCAAGTCAGCCATGAAAACGGCCGATTTCGCGAGCAAAGGATACAACTTTCCTAAATCCAAATCCAAATCCAAATATTCTTTATTGTCAGAAGATTTTGCATCCCATTGACAAAGGTTTGTAAGTACATATAAATATAAACATAACTAATAGTGTATAGATATGAATAGGTAAGTAACAAAGAAATTCAGAATAAATCAAGTACAAATACAATAGAAGTAAAATAGATTTCACATATTTTCAAAATGATTCATTAAAATACTCTTGTAGGCTATAAAAGGGTCTATCAGCTAGCAAATTTCTCACTGCTTTCCTAAAATGCACATTGGTCAGATTTGCAGATCTTATATCTACTGGTAAGCGATTGAAGAGCTTTCCACCATTATAAAAAATGGAATCCTTGAATAATGTTGAGTTGGGTATGGGAAGTCTGATATTAAATATGCTTTTACGAGTAGCATACGGAGAAGAAACAAAGTCTAGGCTTAATCTTCTCAACATCCCCTGGGTTCAGGATTCTGCCCCCAAAATCCCTTTAGGACAACATCACTCAATATAAGTCGACTATTTTTTGTTTTTTTTAATACTGTATGGTTTTATGACTCGGCTCTCTATAGTTCTTTCTCAACTGGGCTGAAAGTGGATCTTTATAAATTTGGTACATGTCCCCCTGAATACCTTACATCATTTGAAAAGTGTGGAGGTGACTTCGTGGGTTCCTTCTTTAATTTTGAATATTACACGCTACTTCGAGCGAACATTGACTTCTACAAGAGATTTTATTATTTTGATCGCTACCAGGACTCTGTGGCAGAATAACGTCAACACCATCCGCGTACATGCATGCTCTTGGCTTCTGTCTAGAAGTGCTGTAATACAGTGTCCCACACGCAAGCCCCATTCCCTTCATACTATCTTGGTGTACCCAAGAATCCTCAATGAGTGCCAGATTTATCCTGAGCTTCCTCAATCTTCTGTTTAGGAGAGAAGTAGAGGTTCTCTCATGTTGTGAGTCAGAAAAAAGTGATTTATTGTGGTTGGATACAGTGAGCCCCCAGCATTTTTGATAGCTGCTAATTTATTTATTTATTTATTTCAAAAAATACATCCAACAGGCCCAAGAGCCCATTAATAGGTGTACAAAATTAATAATAGGTGATAAGAGTAGTCCTATACTAAGCATAATTAATATTAAGTGAATGAGAGCATAATGTATAATCATCAATTAGGAAGTGTGCTGAGAATATCACGTTTGAATTGTGCGAATGACAAAAAGAAAATATCTACATTGGGTGTGTTGTTAACGCTCCTAGACAATGTTGATGAAGGTGAGTGGAAGTTATGCACAGTGTTAGGTACGGGAAAGTAAAATGTGTTACATGAGCGATATGAGAAACGAGGTACATTGAACATCATTTGTGACAATAAAGTTGAACAATCTATTTGGTTGTGTATTATTTTGTAAATAAAGCACATGTCTCTCATTTCGCGATACTTTCTTAGTGATATCAGATTAAACTCCTGTAGCAAGAGGTCATAATTATAGCCTCTAACGGGATAAATACCATGTTTTTTATAATAAGCAAATTTCAAGAATTTCTTCTGAACGTTCTCAATAGCCATAATGTATTTGGAATGGGAAGAATTCCAAACAACACTGCAGTACTCAAGTTTGCTTCTGACCATAGATAAGTAGATGCTCTTCAAAGAATCGAACGACTTGAAATCTCTACAGTTGCGTATGAGAAAACCTAGATTTTTCATCGATTTAGAAATGATATGTTCAATATGGTTTGAGAAAGTCAGTTTTTGATCAAAAATAACTCCTATATAAGTCCTTCGATTCAGTGATACGCATAAGAGTGTTACCATCAAGTTCATAATTAAATGTAAGTGGGATAAGTTTACGAGTGAAAGTCATAAATTTACATTTTTTTATATTCAAGTGGAGTTTATTTTGAATGCACCAGTTACTCAGAGAATTCAAATCTTCTTGCAGTACAATGTAATCTGATTCATCCTTTATTTCTCTATAAATCTTCATATCATCAGCAAATAATAGCTTGTCAGAATGAATATGATCAGTGATATCATTAATAAATATCAGGAATAATAAGGGACCAAGATTTGATCCCTGAGGAACACCGGATGAGGCTGTAAAGCAGGAAGATTTTATTCCATCACACTCGACGAAGAGTTTCCGTTCTGTCAGGTATGAATTGAGCAGCAACTGAATATTAGTAGATATACCAAAGCTTGACAACTTCTTCAGTAGTTGAGGGTGAGACACGCGATCGAAAACTTTACTGAAGTCAGTAAAGATTACATCCACCTGGTTCCTCTGGTCAAGGGAATCAGAAACGAATTGTGAAAAAATACAGAGGTTAGATGCAGTGTTTCTAGCTTTGACAAATCCATGCTGGAAGATAGAGAGAGAAGAGCTGACATGATTGTATATAAGTTCAGATAGTATTATCTCGAATATTTTTGAGAAAACTGATATAATTACTATTGGTCTGTAATTTTCCACATGAGTAATGTTGCCGGATTTAAAGACAGGACATACTCTGGACAATTTCCAAATCTTTGGATAATAGTTTTTTTGTAACGCAAGATTGAGAATGGAATAGCAAGGGAGTGGACAGAACTATAAGAACTGCAAAAGTAAGAGCAGGCGATAACAACATATATGAATCAGCACACCAAATGTATATAACCACAAAAACAAGTACTTTCAGTCTCAGTTATTGAAGAAGCCCACGAGAAAAAATCACAAGAAAGGGCCAGTAATCGTAGTAACTAAATCATTTCGATTAGACTGATAATCAACCAAGCGGAGTCCCAATAGAACAATTCACAAGAAAAACGAAGCTCTAGCTTCTGAAATGTCCACCTTGAGGTAGAATAACACAATGGAAGCAAGCAATGTCGTATTTAGGTCTCATCTCAGACTCGAAATTACTACAGAACCGACAAATCAAGAGAACAAGGCAATATCATCACTAATGATGTGCAGGAGAAGAGCATGAAATACATGAACATGTAATCCCTCAACACTGCGATTAATGTACATCGTGATAGTGAGGCTAATGATCACCTATTACTTGTCATTGTAGCATGGAAATACCAAACTGGGAATAACAAGAATTTCGACGAAATTCGACAGACCTGAATGCTCTTATATAACTAGAACCATTAGATCAACTACAACATACCACTAGCATTCTGGATCTCACAATTCTTCACATGATGGTGGGAAAAGCTGCATGGGGAGCTTATATCAGATTAGCCAAGGTTCGATACGAAGAAGAATCACGAAACGCGAACTGGTAGAACTATCAAGAAAAACAGTTTCTAGAAAGACACTGATATGGACTTACGTTGCGTAACAGTACCATAATATAATGGTACACTCATGAGTCTTCAACTCCAGGGGCAACTAGAGAAGGATATTCTGAGTCCCAAATGGAAGCAGTACTACATGATATCGAGAGGTGCCTACAATTCAATTACGACAGGAATAGCAAGAATAGTAATATAGCAATTCGGTCCGATAGTCAAGCGTCATCAAAGCGTTGAGATCACCCTGCACCAACTCAAAGATAGAGGCACCAGGGAACGTCAGGGTAGTGGACAACGACCAATTAGACAAACTGTCATAAAAATAAGCATCGACATAACTGATTGAACCAGAATGCAGCAAACCAAAAATCTCGTTAGTGATATCAACAGAGGAAGGTATAAAGTACTAGTAGACCTCAATAGGAAAAGTCTCGATACCATGAACGTATTTTTGCTCACACGGCTCTGTTGACTCAGCAAGCTCAGTTCGGAGGAGAACAGCACAGTGATATTCAGCAAGAAACAACCAGTGACATCAGACCATATCCTACTGGAGTTCTACGATCAAATCATCTGAGAGCGCACCAGCCTAAAGTGAAAGGAAAACCACACATATTCCTTGAAATCTTCAGTCTGAAAAACTTCTTGAGACAGGAGAATAGGTTTATATAGGTACTCCTGAATTCTTGAATTCAAAAATCCAATCTCTTGGAAATGGTAGGAGATACGAAGTCGGTTAAATAGGGAAAAAGTAGCGCATTCGGAGTTTCGTATTTGTAGAACCATCATCAAGATTTGTTTTTGAATACAGTCCCTATAATTTTTGTCCAGATTCTGGGAGCTTCTTTCATTTTTAATTCAACCAAGTAAACAAGGTGATTTGAATGTGTTTCGACCTATTTTTATCCATCATCAATGTTTTTCGAAATCCCAAAGGAAAGATGCCATCAGTTCCACTTATTTCTAATCTACAGTGTCAAGCATTAATGTATTAGCTGTTGAATACTGAAAACAAATATATTTCACTAAATTATTCAATGCAGTGCTTCAAATTGTTGATGAATCCTTACATAAATAACTTTTATAACTTAACTTTGACAATACCAACAGAAAAATCCATAGCGAATGTACACTCTACCTTCGATAATAACGTTGAAAAATAATAGATATTCCAGAAATTAAAGTTTTTCGATATAACTGAAAAACTCAAAACAATTTTGCAAAATTTCGAGAACTGTTGATATGAGCCTCCGAATGCCCAATTTTTTCCCCTTTCAACCGACTTCGTATCTCCTACCGTTTTCGAGATCCTCATGCTGTGCTACCGTATCTTGGACAAACTGTATTGTCCTGCCAAATATTGCTCATTAGTTTGGAACTTCACACTTGTTCATTTGAGGTTATACCTCGTTCATTCTGGTGATGATCCGAAATAAGTTGAACCTATGTTATTTTGATCATCGTTTTGTATGATTAGATCAGCTTCGTTATGCAGTTTAACATAACGTCGAATGTGTATGAATATTCGCCGAATCAGCTAAGTCGATTCGCAAATTGAAAAAGATAATAATATTTCATATGTTATGAAGTCATCGACAAAATATTTCACAGCACACTTCACAACGTCAACCAAACTCACCTAAAATTAGTGAGATTCGACGTGGTATGGTTCAGCTGCAGCTTCAAAGACCTCAGCTTGCAGTTTCTTGTCTCTCTTGCAATGTCTTCTGGGGTCTGCGTGCACTGATCGCGACGACTACTGGTATTTTGTCCAGTATTATTACCTCCATTTGTGTAAGGTATTTGAGTATGCGATGAGTGGATCCGGAGAGTACTATTAGACCTGGAAGTGGTAAACAACCAGATGTTAAAGAACACCACGATGAAATTATAATTCGTAATATATGTTCGTTTTATCATCAAGCCATTCGAAGTTTATCTTGCTTCAAGAGTCTTCGATCTCCAAATAGTACTCGTATGCAAACAGGGAACATTTATGTGCATACAGAGTGATTCGAAAGTAAACTGACATACATGAGGATGTGATGATGTTCTAATATGATTTGGTCAAATGAGTATCATATCTGCGTGAAAAAAACTGCCATTATTACAACTTGCTATAAGCAACTGTTTTCTACATATTTGAACTCGAAAGTCTGAAGTTTATTTTTTGATGATCGATGCATGTTGGAGTTATTCTCATTATTTCGCATTTTTTGTTCATGAATATATCTCTGGAAATGAGGCACAATTACTGAATCTTCTTCAAAATACTTATTTGTCATTGAAATCTTATTAACAAAAATGTCAAATTTTCATTGAGAGCACTTCACTTATTTCAGTAATTCTCATCGTGAAAATGTGATGAACAATTTTGAATATAATTTTTATTAACAGGAAAGAAGCCGTGTAATTGCATCAGTCAATCTTATCAGGTATTATATGCCATGCCAGTATCTTAAATTAATCATTTCATTGCAGATAATGCATTTAATAACATAAAAATTCACGTCAAAACTGACTAATAATTGCATAATAATGATCAATGGCCGCTACTATTCTATCAACAATGACGTTTCATCGTTCTGATTGGCCTCTACTTGTCTTTTCGAATCGCACTATCTTATATTGTTCATTCCGTGTACGAATAGAATTTGATGCAATCATTCGTTATTTGAAATCATCAAAAATATGTTTATTTCAATAATTGAAATCGGCACCTTCGAGAAACTACAGCACTCGATGATATTTTTTCCTCTGTATTCCTCAACAACCAATGACAGCATAAATATATATTCCGACGCTGCCAAATTTATAACTAGAAATCTTTATTCGAACCAAAATTATTTTGTCACCCTGGCAACCGTGTAATGAGAAGAGTTCAAAGAAATATCGAAGAAAAATAAAAGAGTCAACCTAACTTCATAACGTCAATCACGTCTGTCAGCTTCATCTTCAAATCCTATCATCCTTTCAAGTCAAATAGGTACTGGGCACTGTGAATATTCAAATATGATCCCCGGATTATCTGATTCTTCAGTTGAGTGTTGTGATCTTTGTTATCTGCAGTGATAATTCCAGGAAATATATTTCATATTTTGATAGAAATGAGAATCATGAATATTCTTGCACTTGTCTTGCACGTCACGTTATAAAATATTGTGGATTTCAATGATTATACAAATGATGTACAGGAAAGAAACAGTTCACGACAATGAATCATTCAGGGTTAGTACTTCAAAATGATGGCAAGATTTAGTTCACTGAGACAGGCCCGTTCTAACGTTCTGCACTCTGCAACTGTCAAGTATGTCATTTCCTATTTTATGGTTACTTACTCATAATACATGTGGGGAACATTCATCATAGGATGATATCATTGAATACAATACTATATAATAATCATTCTGTTTTATGAAGACTATATACTTGGTATCTCCAATTTCTATGTTGTCACAGGTAGCATGTAAGGAAAATCAAGTTTATGGTACTTTCATATTGAAAAGTTTAATGAGTTTTCTAAGTGCCGACTAATACAACAATCGAAATTGAATATCTACGTGACTTTTTTCCTAGCTCATGAGCATCAAATGGTTGGATCTGATAATTTCCATCAGCATTAGTGGTGCCCGCGAGAGTCTCGTTTTCGAGAGTCTCGCATGGTCTCGTCTCGTTTTCGAGACAAGACTCGAGACAAGACTCGGACAAGACGAGACGAGACTTTTATTGGTCTCGTCTCGAGTCTCGTGCAAGACGTCTCGTGCGAGAGTCTCGCAAGTTGATATTTCTGCGTGCCGACTGCAGACTTGAGAATTTCATTCATAATAAAACATATTAAGAAAGATTTCAGACTATTTAGCACAGATAGACAAAACATTTCATTCATAAAAACTTTAAAAACACAATCCATGATCTCTTATTGCGGCGGAAAATAAAGGCAATTCTGCAATAACGACAGATCGCAAATTGAATGACTACCTGAAAATCTATAAAGTAAGTAATGTGCTACATAGTCTAAGATGAAGAATAACTTTTTTTGACGGGTTTATGGATGCAGGAGCTTTAAAAATATTATTCTGTGCCTTGGTGTAATAAAAACACATTAGATATATTGCAATGGTGGACAATTCATATGCTTCTGAATTTCCCATTCTAAGTTTGATGGCACGAGATCTCTCAAGCATACCGGCTACTTCAGCCATCTTCAGCTTGTTTAGATATATGACGAGATATATGATGTAAGTATGTACCTATAAGGTACTCACTTCTCAATAAATAATGTTATTTTTGTTGTGATTTGGTCTTCCTACTTCTACATTATACCTAGAAAAGAGGTAAAGGTAAATATCCCGTACTAGACTGGAACAAGATTATGCATGACGATATTGCGATACATCTGCGAGACTCTCGTACGAGACGCGAGACAAGACGAGACTGGAGGCTGCGAGACGAGACTCGAGACAAGACTTCATATTTCATCGGCGAGACGAGACGAGACTTTATGGAAGTCTCGTCTCGTTGGTCTCGTGTGAATCACTAATCAGCATAGGCAAAATTACCATTTCTGGGCTTTACGTTACTGTTGACTTGGCATCGATTATTTGCAAACATGGCAAATTTTCTATTGGCAAACAATCAGAGAAGACTCGATGTGTTTTGTTTCTGAATAATGAAAGAATTGAATTAGACAATCGTGGTTCAATTGATATCATGATAGGTACCTATCAACAGCAATCTGGGATTCTCCCCAATAAGTAAGTCATAATAATTCTGTACAAAAGATAGATAATGATTTCTGCTTGATTTTAATGGTATTCATTTTCAGATTCTCATAATTGTAACATCCGTTCATCAATTCATCTGTTTCGCATGATTTTCAGAGCATCTTCTTCAAGAGAATCTGATTTCGAAACACCAGTATTATAGAATTATTGAAAAGAACATTGGAAGTCACTAGATTCAATCAGAGGAAACAATGAGTTGACTTGATGAAGTTTATTCAGAGACTCACCTTTCAAGATGCCAATCTGAAGTATATCATTATATTATAGACTCCTGTTCGAAAGGGCTAAAATACTTGAATCCGTAGTAGCGCGTTGAACTAATTCATATTCCCCGTTTTACAATTTATGTGTTATTCAGAATCGTGAAATATGATTATACTCCAATTTGAATTCATAACAACGTTCTCCTGAAAACGACGTCAAGCTGTCGATGCGAATGGAAAGGTAAGCCTCTAATTGGTTTCGATCAAAATATTATAAGTGCATTCCGATGAGGATGACTCTCGAAAAGATATAATGAATATGTTATGATAATTAAGTTTCAGCAAATATCGCCTATACAGTGTGTCCAAAATATGAATGTATATATCATGGGGTGAAGTTGATGATGGTTTCTCTGGAACGAAACGTCGTACGGAACGTCTCTCAACACTGTTTCGTAGAGATCAAAGAGTGGCAATGAAAAACCATCTCTTGTTCCACTATATCTCTTTCGATAACTTCAGAAAAATATAAAAACGATCCCTATGAAAGACATCCTTATCTTGGACACAGTGAATAATGTAGTGTGATCTACGTAAAAATTATGTACCCATTAGTCCAATATTCAAGAAAGTGCCTCCACACTTTCAAAATAATTTGAGTGGGTGATAATCATTCAAACCGAAATATGCGAAACCCGCTACTGAAAAGTCTTACGTATTTCTTGGACGTCGCCAGGGCTAGTATCCAGGATCACCTGGACAGGAGGGTCATTCCATACTTTGACAACGCAAAGATTGGGATAAATCATGCAAAAACCGAAATCATAAACTTCACACGAAAATACACAAACAACACTCTATTCCAACCATTGCGTGTCAAGGACGCAGAGGTGGAGGTCATACCAGACAAAAAGGACATCCAATGGATGTCCTTCTGGTACGTCCCTGGGATGTACCAAGTACGAAGAAAGGCTATCCCTAGGACGTCCCAAGGATATTCCAGGGACATCCCTTCGACAAAAGAAAAAAAATATCGAGTAGGCATTGAACCCGGGACCTTCAGCTTATCAGGTACGCACTTCACGCTTTTGGCTAATATGCCTTCTGAAGATTCATGAACTGAACAGATTTATAAACAGTACAAAACTGAAACCTGAATAAATACCACTCTGGTAGGTTTTCATGTATGATTATTATCATTCATGGGTGTTCAAAGATGAGGGACATTATGCATTTACGATTTCTGTTTGCGGAAAATGGTCATTTCTCAAGGAGTTCTGAGACTATATTCTTCATTCTCATCATAATTATCTTCCGGAAGAGAAACGAACATTTTCAAAAAAAAAACCAACTCAATATTTTTATGAAATTCAATGACTATGATGTGAATGGATATCACATTTTCCAGGGACATGAAGAATAGGATAAGCTAGGGATGTACCGGGCAGGATGTCCACTGGACAATCACAGCGGGTCATCCCCTGGATGTCACAATTATGTCCTTGTACCGCAGAACAAAGAAGGGTTGTACCTAGGACATTACTGTGTTGTTAGGGCAGTTTGATAACCACCTCTCCAGATATCTCAACTTGTACGGTATTAGGAAGAGCGGGACCTACATCTTCATATAGGGCGCCAAGGTGCTGAAAGGATAACAAACAAGAAATTTGGGAGACATTTGAGAGGAAGGCTCAGCCGAGAAAGATTCGAATCGACAGCAATTTTGCGAAGTAAACGGCTGTTTAAGCGAATTTGAGCGCCTTGACACGCCCAGGAACCTTGCCTGTAATGAATTTAGTTTGCGAATTTGAATTTATTTCATCAGATATGCCTACCTCCAAAGAACACTTCGTGAG